GTAATTTGATGACACCAGACATCTTTGAGTAGTTATTTGAGCCTAAGATTAAAATCACAGACAGGATTCATCTTCTAAGTAAAAGACTGTCGTTCTCCCCGTGACACAAATATCTTACAGCTGAAATCTTATTTTTTAATTGTACCCATTAAACTTCTGGCAAGGGATCATGTGCGACTGGCCGAATTCTTAGCTGTAAATATTTCAGGGAGCACTTCATTTAAGTCTGTTATTTAGCGCAGGGGTGTTCTGGTTCTAGATGCCTCATATCCAGCACAGTTTGGTGATTTCTTTACTCTAACACACCTGATTTAACTCAATAATATTCCTTATTATGAAGGCTGCAAGGTAGATGATGTTCACCAAGACCCTCTGGATCGGTAAAAGCAAGCCAGCAATAAATTGGCAGTTTTGTGTTTTTTCAAAAAGTGACAATTTGCAGAAAAGTAAAAAGTGAGATGCTCTCAAAATAATGCATGAGGAAACAAAAGTCCCAGAGTTGCAACCACCTTCTCTGTGCAGTCAGAATATGTAAGTTGAGGTTTAGTTCAGCGCTGTGGGTTTCACTTCCTCGTCTCAAACCACTGACTTGCATCTCTGCTGATGCATTGTTAGTTTGTTTCCTAGTTACAGAAGTTTTGGTGACTGTTAAATCCCTATATTTCTTCGACACATCAAAATACTATTTAATTTTACGTTCTGTTGTATTTAGTGGTCGTGTACTGGTGCTTTTTTCTTTTCATGGTAAAGAATTAAAATAATATATAACCCCATTTCCAAATGCTGTAAAAAATGTAAACAAAAACAAAATGCAATGATGTGCAAAACCTATAAGACCTATATTTCATTGAAAATGCTTCAAAGACAACACGTTCCAAAAAAGTTAGGACGGGGGCAACAAAAGGTTGGTAAAGTTGTGTAATGCTTAAAAAACACCAGGTGGTTAATTGACAACAGGTCAGTTACATCACTGGGTAGTAAAAAAGAGCATTAAGAAGTAAAGATGAGGAGGGGTTCACCACTCTGTGAAAAACTGCACGAGCAAATAGTGCAACAATTCTAGAATAACGTTTCTCAACATAAAATAGCAAAGAACTTTTGCTTTTCATCATCTACGGTACAAAATAACATTAAAAGATTCAGAGAATCTGGAGAAATCTCTGTATGCAAGGCACAAGGCCAAAAAACAGTATTTGCTTGCCGTGATCTTTGGGCCCTCAGGCAGCACTGCATTAAAAATAGACATGATTGTTTAGAGGAAATCACTGCATGTCTCAGAAACACTTCTGAAAACCACTGTCTGTGAAAACCATTTGTTGCTGCATCCACAAATGCTAATTAAAACTCTTAAATGCAAAGAAACCACATATAAACAGGATCCAGAAACGCTGCCAACTTCTCTGGGCCTGAACTCATGTAAAATGGATTGAGGGGAAGTGGAAAAGTTTCCTGTGGTTCAACAAATCAAATTTTACATTTTCCCTTTGAGAGTGTAAAAATATGAGCCAAAACTGCTCGTTCTTCAGTTGCTACCATGCATGCTAACAGCGCTGCCGCTATAGCTTCCACACTAGCAAACATTACATTCTATATTTCATTTTACATTCTGGTGCGCTTAGTGTTATGTACTGGTGCTTGTTGACTTCGTGTTCAGCTGAAAGTGTGGTTGGTGTAGTGTAGTGGGTAACACCTCTACCTTTTTATGCTGTAGACTGGGGTTCAATGCCCCATCTGGACAAGCAGAGCAGTCGTTACAGGAAGAGCGTTTGTTGTTTTTGTAAGACACATGACGTGTGTCTACACCGGGTGTCGTCTTTGTACAGTACAGCATTGCTTGCTGTTTGTCGTGGGCGACGCTTGAGTATACAGGCTTCAACAATGGGTGTCATTTAGTTAGTCAGTAACTCAGTAACTCAGTCAGAGTCGGGTTAAAAGCATCATGACGCTCATTCAAAACTGAGCAAGACCATGTTGCAAGATCTCTAGAGAGAGGTTATGGACGTAGCAGCATGTTGTGATTTAACTAAAGCGTTTGTGTCAGTAAAGTTAAAAGTGCAGTAGTGTTAAAAAGTTTCTAAGCGACGACAAGTTAACACACCTTCTCCAGAGATCACACTTAAATATCGACATTATTTCTGCTAAATTTAGTTCACAGATTTTCTTTTTTTTGCTGAGTTTACTGGAAACTTACTGGAAACAACATGTAAAATGCTACATAACGTTCGCAGAAGCCTTATTTATTTATTTATTTATTTATTTTCCCAATATGTTAAATTCTGCAAATAAACAGCAGTTGTGAATTAAAATGTGCAAAAGTCTCTGTAGTGGACGTGTTAACTTATTTTCGCATAGAAAATCAGCAAAAATGTGTAATTTGTCTAGGGCGCCCACACTTTTGCATACAACTGTAATCAAACTATAAACTATAAACTCAGGATGAGCATTTCAGTGAAATTTGATGTTCTGTTTCTTAAGGCATTATTTAAAAAGTATTCTGATAACATGTATTTTCTAGGAGATTGCAGCTGTACAAGATGAGCCAAAACATGAAGCAGGTATTCAGAGGAGATTCAGGCCATTTAATAATAACCGACCGATGGGAAATTGCACCGTTTCAGTACCAACACATATAATTGCACGTAAACTTACATATATTATGCTAAAAATAGAAATGAAAATAGACATAAGTTAGGCAGAAAATAAGAAATAGAAATAAAAGTAGACATAAGTTAGAAAGAAAATTAAAAATAGAAATAGACATAAATTAGGCAGAAAAAAAATATAGAAATAAAAATAGACACGTTAGGCAGACATAAAACATAGAAATAAAAATAAAAAAAGTATAAGAGAGTAGAAATAAAAGTATCTCTATTTGCATATTTACATAGCATACAAGACAGATTTATTGTATTTACATGAGAGCAGGCACTGAGTGGTATGAGGTCGTCTAAAAACACAATGAGTGTAGACATAACTAGGAGTAGCATGTAATGAATCTGGCACCTTAACACCAGCTTAAAGTCTCAGAAGAACACAAAAGCAGATGAATATGAAACCTTCCTTCCTCTAGGCTTCAGCATTTGTTATTTGGTATCACCGCTGCTTAATTTGATATCTACAGTAGCCGACAAGACCCTGTTCATATTAGCATTAAAAACACTCATAAATGAGCTGCAAACACAGAAAACACTCATCACCACGACGACATCGGAGCTACATTTTCGCATTTGTCACACAAGTATTTACGGTACAGAATATAAAAACCTTTACATTACATTGCGATTATGGTGGATGCCTGCAGTTTACCAGCAAGATGTTTTCTATTAAGTACTACAAGTACTTATACTGCTAATAGTAGTAGTAATAACAATAATAATAATAATTCTTCAGTTGCTACCATGCATGCTAACAGCGCTGCCGCTATAGCTTCCACGCTAGCAAACATTAGATTCTGTACAAAGTGATAATTCTTAAAAAGTGTGATTAACACATCAAAATACTATTTCATTTTACATTCTGGTGCACTCAGTGTTATGTACAGGTGCTTGTTGACTTCGTGCTCAGCTGAAAGTGTGGTTGGTGTAGTGCAGTGGGTAACACCTCTACTTTTTACGCTGTAGACTGGGGTTCAGTCCCCCATCTGGACAAGCACCCTACGCTATACCAATAAGAGTCCTTGGGCAAGACTCCAAACCCTACCTTCGCCTACCTGTGTAAAAAATGACCAAATTCTAAGTCGCTCAGGATAAGAGCGTCTGCCAAATGCCGTAAACGTAAATGTAAAAAATTGCCAAATGACTTGCGCTAAAACTACAAGGTTAGAGCCTGAGATTAAACTACCATACAATACTCAATGCTGTGTTAAAGCAGCTAGCAAACATTACATTCTTGTACTGGTGCTTGTTGACTTCGTCCTCACCTCAAAGTGTGACAAATTGCCAAAAGACTTGCGCTTAAAGTACGAGGTGAGAATTTTTAAGTTCATGGTTAAAGCTGACTGGCTACTTTGCTGTCTGACATGTCGTAGCTGTACTGTGGGAGTTAATCTGGTGTTATTAGTTAAATGCTTACAGTTACTCTCTACAGCTAATTCTCATTACCATACAGTGATATTAATCTGCTCAAATAAAAGTCAACTTACTTTTACCGGTGAATTTTTTTGCTGCATAGGATTTAATAGGTCTGAATGTTTCCGTCGTCTCTAAGTGTCCTCCAGAAACACCTCCGTTGTGTTGTGATTGGCTCATCTGCGTTTCTGAAGTGGCATGTGTTTCTGTATCAGCAGTTCGTTTACGAAATGTTGCACCAGTGTTGTCATTTTGATGAAAGCTCGTTTTTTTATTTGCAGTTTGTTGGGTCTTCTCGGCTACCATAGATATCAGTTAATGTTTGATCATTTGATCGGCCAAGTGTAAAAATACAAGGTGTCCCAAAAAAATTGACATCATTTCGTAGTCTAATAACAGCCAGTTCTCCCTCAAATGATCTCACATTTTAACAAAATGTGTAAAAACTAACCAAGTTTAATTTTTAATGTTTTTTTCAGGTTGAAGAATGGCGTTCACTAGAAATGAAAAGGCGTTTTGTGTGTTAGAATATGCTCGAACACAGTCAAACGAGAATGTGCAGCGGCATTTTCCAGAAAATTCAATAAAAATGCACCAACTGGAAAGCAGATTTGGACACGGCACAAAAAATTCAAAGAGGAAGGCTGTCTGTGCAGGACAGAGGGGTCTGGACGACCACCAGTATCGGAAGATATTACATTTGTGAAGCTGTGAAATCGGTTATAAAATCTACATCCCTCTGAATTTCTTGTTCGAATTTTGATAAATAAATCTTGTATTGTTCAACATGAAGCCTGTTTAATTTCGTTTGCCAGGACATGTAGTTACTCAGATATTCACATCTCAAATGATGTCAGTTTTTTTGGGACACCCTGTATTCAAATGAGTGTTCTGTTAAAATGGTGTCACCTCTCTCTCTCTGTGTTTTCACAGGCCAGACTGAACTGCAAGCACTGTGGAAAGCCCGTCATCGACGTCCGGGTGGGCATGCAGTATTTCTCCGAGTACAGCAACGTGCAGCAGTGTCCACACTGCGGCAATCTGGACTATCACTTTGTCAAGCCATTCTCCTCCTTCAAAGTTCTCGAAGCCTATTGACGAAAGTTGTCATTGCATGCTAGTTTGCTTTTTTCTATTCATAGGTATCTTATTTGGAAACTTTTTTTTTCCTCTGGTGGGTTTTAGTTCCAGATTTAAAACGGTAGGAGAGAAAGTGAAATGATGGTGGGTGAAATAATCGCGGAGGAAAGGGGCGAGGGGGCGCTTCACTATCTGTTCCTAAGACATTCTTTAAAAGATTCTCATCTGGCATTTGAAACCCCAAAAGCAACAAAAATACTGTGACAAGTGAATGTATCTGTATGCCAAATTTGCTCTTTTTGTACAAAAAGTAAAACAATAAAATACATAAAATTGTAAACATCTGCTCTTTTCCTGCTGTCGTTCACACTCCATTTCATCTTAGATGCCTTTTCCGCCACCGTCGATTCGTATGTGGCCGTTTGATCTAATATCAGTTTATACATAAATGACAAAATTAATGAACTCGTCCCTCCCTGGGCCACCTAGATAATTATTACTTTCCATATCAAATGGCTTCTCTCAGTAAGGCTGCGCATTAATGGAGATGGACAGCTCTTTTGATATGGCTAATGAGGAGCAGTGTAATTTAAACCTCCCTTTTTAGTCGTATCAGTCTTTGAAGACAGAGAGGCCATAGAGTATGAGATGAATGAACGAGTGAACCATCTGATGTTTCGGGCTGCTTTTACATGCGATGGCTGGAAGGCAAGAAACTGAGGAACAATTACACGAGGATCGTGACAGATAATCAATGCTGCCAACTAAACATTTTCGAAAACAAATTTTCTTCGACTTTTTGCTGCTGTTCTGTTTTGTACAGTGGGGTCCAAAAGTCTGAGACTTCATTTAATATCTGGGATTTTGTCCATTTATACCTAAACAGAGTGTTTTAGATATTTGAAACATACAGTGGCATTTAAAACTGTTCAAAACTTTGTAATCAATGAGTGCATATACGTGCACTCAGTAATCCGATCATAATCGGATTCCTGCAGTTATCTGATTATTCAAATGGTCATGTAAACACCATACTCAGATCTAGAAATCTGATTAAGAAATCTGATAAAGAGGCTGGATTTTAGCTCAGTAATCAGATTTCTCAGTGCATGTAAACTCTTACTCTGATTTCTTTCGGATTTCTCAGTCTGCGCATGCGCAAGGTCAGACGGTGGATGTCGCGAGACGCAGCAAAACGCTTTTGGAGAGGCGCTGAAACCAAACACGAAAAAAAGGATTTGCATATTCTTCATCTTTAAAATGATGTATGTTCATATTTTCAGCTAAAGCGGCGCAATTTTTAAAAACAAAAGCCGCGGTATGAAGTTTGAGGTTTACGTTTACGTCATGTCTTCTTCTGTGAGTTTATTGGCTGGTTGCAAAGCAGAAATCTGATTACTGTCTGACTCATGTAGACCTGGAGTTTCTTATCGGATTACTGATAAAATCAGATTTTCTGCAGTTATCAGATTATTCAGTGCATGTCTACGCACTCAGTGATGTAAAGACCATGTGGTTGCACGTAGGTGTAGCACTGCTGTGTCTGATCCACTCGTACCAGCACAACACACACTAACACACCACCACCACGTCAGTGTTACTGCAGCGCTGAGAATGATCCACCACCCAAATAGTACCTGCTCTGTGAGGGTCCGTGGGGGTCCTGACCACTGAAGAACAGGGTAAAAGGGGGCTAACAAAGTATCAGAGAAACAGATGGACTACAGTCTGTAACTGTAGAACTACAAAGTGCACCTATATAGTAAGTGGAGCTGATAAAATGGACAATGAGCGTAGAAACAAGGAGGTGGTCATGATGTTATGCCTGATCGGTGTAGCTCTATATAGAACTTTTTTTACTAAAGAACCCTTGAAGAACCATCATTTTTAAGACTGTAGCTCAAGCAGTTTGCATTGAAGTCCCCAAAAATAAGCGTTAATATGTAATAAGCCTGAGATTTTAAGGGGTTAAGTCTTTTGCAGTAAAATGTTAGTTTTTTAGTCCTTCTATTTGAGCTCGTGTTCAGACTCTCAGGTGGATTTGATCTCTTCAGAGGCCTTTGCTCAAACTTGTGGAGTTCATGTCAGCTCAAGGTCGCACTGACATTAAAGCACAACGTAGAAATACCTAATAATTAACCAATAATTTGGACTTTATGTTAAAGATTCTACTTTTTTGAGCCAAATTGTTATGCTATATTTAAATTACATTAAATCACAAAAGCACATAAAGTAGCAGCATTGATGCAGTGGTCTCAGACTTTTAGACCCCACTGTATGAATCTGGTGAATAGGGTGGTGAATTGAGCCTCACCGTCCGCTCCCAGACACAACCTACTAACAAACCAACATGTGATGATCAGGCTGAGAAAGTGCTTCATCCAAAAAAACCTAATTAAAATGCAATGCAGACCATTTGTTATTGCATATTCAGCACAAATTCAAAGCCGGTCTTGCTTTACAAAGAAAGAGGCCAGCTTGGGCCCCATCTGGTGGTCAAAAGCAGAAAATAAAGCCATTGTTTAACAAAGCTCCCCTCTTAGCTATGACTCAGAGCCCACTTGCGTAATCATGTCCTTATTGCTTCATGTTAACACAATGTCCAGTCAAGTTCTGAAGTACTGAAGTCTTCTAAGTTTAACTTGTTTAGCACGTAGTGATGGAGATTCTCAGTGCCTCTGGTTGGGGCTGCATCTTGTTTGAGTTACATAAAGGTTTTTCCTCCCTAGAGAGCGATTATTTACTGGCAGTCTGAAGATGGTGGGTTATTCCTTTACTCCTATTATATATTTGCATAGTGCATGTATAACATGGCCATCAGTGCCCTGGAAGATTGTCGGTGGAAGCTGTTGTGCAGACACGGTTCCTTGCTTGTCCTTGGTGGAGGAGCTGTTGTAATATAATTTCACCAGAAAATTGGACGCACACACACACACACACACACACACACACACACACACACACACACACACTCACGCAGGCCAGTGCTTCTCCGGCATGCCCCAGGTAGGGAGGCTGTCTCATGCTGAATACTCGCAGACTGCTTGCCTTTTTTTTAGGTTGTTCCCATGGAAACTGCTGCGTGGTGAAGAATCAGAGTGTATAGTAGAGCTATAGATTGTTTTGTGAGCTGGTGAAATTTAGAAATGAATAGCGAGCTTAGCGAATCTCTACGGATGACCAGCTTATGAACGAACTTGAGGCATGAGGTTGAACAGTTTTAGTGAAGCAGCATGATTTGTGACAAATAACACTGACTTGTAACGTGCAAAAGGCCGAGACCAGCCTTCATTTAATTTCCAGTCAAAACAGCTGTTTAGTTCAAGGGCAACACTTTATTTAGTGGTCCTTTGTAGATGATTAATAAACTCTGTACAGAGTATCAGTAACACATCAACAACATATCAATGCAGTATCAGTAGTGAAGCATCCGAATACACTGAATTTAATATCTTGTCGATGTTCTGTTGATACACACACTAAGTAGATGTTTTGTTAATATGTTACTTCCATTACACAAAACCTAACCTTACCAATCTTACCATAACACCTAACCCTCAACCTGGCCCTGATCCTAACCCTGACCTTAACCTCAACCCAAAACCTAATCCTACCCCTCACCCTGGCCCTAATCCTAACCCTGACCCTAACCTCAACCCAAAACCTAATCCTACCCCTCACCCTGGCCCTAATCCTAACCTTAACCTTAACCTCAACCTAAAACTTAATCCTAACCCTCACCCTGGACCTGATCCTAACCCTGACCTTAACCTCAACCCAAAACTTAATCCTAACCCTCATGTTTTTGACATGTTACTGAGAGTCTGTTGAGTGTTTGTTTCATCTAAAGTGTCACAGATTACATTTACAGTAATCCAACTGCATAAAGAAGAGAAAGTCAAAAGAAAATAAGACAAAAAACAGGCGTTTTCAATATTGGAGTTCAAAAAATGATTAAAAGATATAGAGAAAACAGAGCTCCTAACAACCACCTGGAAGACCCTAAAACTGCCCCCATCAGATAAACAGCACTTAAAGCTTTCATCTCTGAGAGAGAGGAGAAAATCAAGCTGCTTCAGATCTGAAAACATCCACAGGTGTTTCTGTCCATCCTTCCACTGTGAGAAGACGACTCAGCGCTGTGGGTCTGAAAGGATGTGTAGCTGTTCAAGAAGAACCTCACTGAGAAGAGGTTTCTCCTTTTTGTTCTAACACTGAAAAATAAGGACTTTGATGGTTGTTTTGACTGGAAAAGAAGAGTGAACTCGAGACTGAGGAGAATTCCAACCAGACTGCACTAAGAGGACTGTAAAGCACTGAAGGAGAAACGTTAAACTCTGGGGCTGTTATTCATACAGTGGTGTTGGTGAGCATTGATGGGATCATGAGCTCAGAGGCATTTTTGGATGCAAACCAGCAGAAATCTGCAGATAAATAACTCGGACAGTAATGATCTGAAACACAGCAGCCACCTTTGGAAAGAATATCCGCGTACATTTTGGGGCAACTGTAAATAAAGTATATATAGCATCTAAAACTTTTAGTAATCTAAAAATTACTATTCAGAATTTTGAAACCAAGGTTTTTGGTGATAGAAATACAATCTGGTTGCAGAAAAGTGTATAAAATGGTTCTAATATGCTATTCCTGTGCAGCTCCACAGCTTTTAAACATTTAGTAAAGCACTAAGCTGTAAAAGTCTTTAGAAGATTGAAAATAAGAAGGGAAAGCTGGATAGAACCAAGATTTCAGTTACAGTAAAATTAATAACCAGGGAATACATTTAAAGTGGAGATCAAATCTTGAGACAGATGACCTGCAAAATATGTAAATAGATAATTACAGCATACTATTTATTTTATTCATTTTTTGTTTACTCAAATATTGTATAAAACATCTAAAAAGAAATTTTGGAGAATATTTTGTAATCTTTAAATCCAATTTGTAGACAGTTTTATTGTGTATAAAACAAATTGTTCAAAGCAAGTGACTCCACACTTTTGAATGCTACTGTTGAACCATCTGATCCTCGTTTTGTGAAGCCTGTTTCATTCTTTGCATAATTTTGTGTAAAAAAAACACTTTTTTATCAACAGAATGTCATCTTTATTTACGAGTAGAGAAACGTATTACAGGATGAAAAAAGTATGAATCGCACTTAGAGAGCTATAAAAAGCTTACCAAGGGGCTGTTCTTAAATTAGTAGGAAAGGTTAGATACGTTTAATATATATAACCCAAAACTCACACAGCACTGCACTTATCCAAACACACAAAAGCCAAAATTAAGGACGAAAGAGAGAACATTTTCAGTGAAACTGTGGCAGCCAATTACTTTATGTTAATCTCCTCAGCTTTTCTTCGCCCCCTTAGCTGCACCTTTCTTCTTAGAGGCGCCTTGTTTTTTGGGCTGGGCTTTGCTGGGCTTTGGCTTGGCTTCTTGGCCTTTGGAGGTTTGTGGTTTGGCTTCCTCTGTTTTGGGTGCTGCAGCCTCAGCTGGTTCTGGTTGTGCTTTCACGGGTTCAGATGTGCTGGGTTCTTCTTTGATTGGCTCTACCTTGGGGGCGTCTGCTGTTTCTGCTTCTGCATTGGGAGGCTTCACTTTGGGGGGCTCTGCTGTGCTCGATTCTTCTTTGATAGCTTCTTTGGTTGGTTTGGTTGAACTTGCTTCTTTAGCAGGCTCCTGTTTGGGGTCTTCTTGTGTAGTATTGACTTTTTCTTTGGTAGACTCTACTTTGGGGTCTTGCTGTGTTATACTGACTTCTTCTTTGGTAGACTCTACTTTGGGGTCTTGCTGTGTTGTACTGACTTCTTTGGTAGACTCTACTTTGGGGTCTCCTTGTGTTGTACTGACTTCTTTTTTGGTAGACTCTACTTTGGGGTCTTCTTGTGTTGTACCGACTTCTTTGGTAGCCTCTGCTTTGGGGTCTTCTTGTGTTGTATTGACTTCTTCTTTGGTAGACTCCACTTTGGGGGCCTCTGTTTCCACTTCTTTGAATCTCACCTCTTTTTGCCGAACAGGTTTTGGCTTGCTGGATTTTTCCTTGGGCGCGTCCTGCTTGACTGGCTCTACTTCTGCAGCTTCTTCTTTGGGTGGTTCCTCTTTTGGTGACTCTGCTTGTTGGCTTGGCTCTTGCTTGACCTCAGACTGACTTGCCTCATTTTTGATTGGCTCAGGAACTGCAGATGATTTACTGGCCTCTTCACTGACTACCTCTTTCTTGTCTTCTTCCAAACTGGAAGGTTCTTCAACTGTGGATGTTAACTTCAGTGCTTGTGGTTCGCCTGACACGGCAACAGAGGAAGCCTCTGGTTTAGGCTGAGATGATTCCTCTTCATCGTCGGAATCCTCCATGTCGTCTGCAGTGGAGGCCATGAGGGAGGCTGCAAACTCCTCCAGCCGGGCCTGCTCCTTCCACAGCTTCTCCATCTCAGCAGTTAGGGCGGGGTTGCTTGCCACCTCTGGCTCTGGCAGCTGGTTCAGCTCTGGGAGCTCCTCTTCTGTGCCCTTCACTGGTGCTGAGGCTGCAAAGCCCTGCAAGCGGATCTCTTTGATCTTGTCGTATAGGACTTTCCTCTCCTCCTGCAGCGCTCGGCACAACGTCTCCAGCTTTGCAATCTTCAAGGTGAACAGCTCGAGCTCTTTGCCCTTCTCAGATCTCTGCGGGAAGGAAGAGATGAACGCACAGTCATTTAGTACAGATCTGATGGTGAAATAAAGAGATTACGATGCACACAGTGAATTTTTTATTGTTTTGGATGTGCATTATGTTTGTTATATTAGTTTGTCTGTAGTTCATAACATCAGGCCTCAAAAACCACAGTTACTCCACTGATTTTTCAAACATTCTGCATAGTTAAATGGTTAAGATGTAAACAAAGTCATTCAGAGTGGATTGTTTTGAAATGCAATTCTAGAGAAAATTACAGAGTCCGACTTGTTCACAGTGGTGGTCATAGGAACCAGACGTCCACCTCTAAAAGCTCCCTCACAGAAAATGATTACATGAAATGATTGCAAATTTGAAGCCTGATGCCGGAGAGATTGTTTTACAATAGTTTTGGGAAATTGTTTTGGTTTAAAATGTATTCTTTTAATGCATTCATGGTGGAGAGATACATGCAGAGAGTTCTAAGACAAATAGTCCCCAAAGAAAATTACCATTATCTACATTACATTCAGAAATGCACCAAATGCCTGTAGGTTCACTGGTGATTCTGAATAGCAAATAAAACAGCCATATTTCTGTTGTAGCCATGGCGACCCCTGGTTCCCATCACCACCACTGTAAAGAAATCTGAGTTGGTAAGTGTCTCTATAATGAACCATTTCATGTCAAAACAGTATGAATGACTTTGTTAGCAATTTAATTATGCATACACTTGGAAAAAACGGGGGAATTCCTTTTAAAAAATGAGCTGCCTAACCATTTTTTGGTTTGATTAATGTCCCTGATATGTAAATACAATAAAAATACAAAAGGTCACCTCCTCAATCATTTCAGTAAGGGCTTTGCTGCAGCTTTCAAAGCGTATCTTCCATGTATTTGACTCCTTCTCCAGTTTCTTCATTTTCTTGGTCATCTGTGGAGAAGTACGATATAAAATACAGTTGTTGATATAAAGGGGTTATTATTAGGGTGTATAACAACATTATAACCACAGTGCATTGCAGTATATGTAAGATAAAGGTTTAAATCACGATCATTCATAAAAACGTGTGATGACACACCTTGTCCATCTCATGTTTGAAAGTAACATAAACTTCGTTGCTCTTGGCCAGTGTAGCCTGGAACTCGTCGAACTTCTGCGAGTACAACACAAGCTAAAAGAAAAGGGTGAGAAAACAAATGTTTGCGATTGCTCTCAAATGGCATCCATTAAAAACACAGAATTTGTAAAAAAAGAATTCAATTTCATGCGATTCCTGAGTTGTTCCCTTCTCCCTCCTGGCCAAGGACATTAACTCCCCCAAATCACATCCAACAAACCTAATTTGTGTCGGAATATGAATGATATGAATGAAGATTGCTTTTTTGGGCGTTAATTGGATTGGAAATGTGACATGGTGCAAGTATATGACAAATTGACTGAAGGTTGAATACAATATTAATAGAGTTTGTTCAGTAATTGGTGATGTTCTTTCAGGACATATAAATCAGTCAAAGAGCGGCTCTAATATTCCAGGTCGAAACAGGCCTCAAATGGCCGCGTGCTTTCAGAGATTAATTATAACGCTGCTCGCAACAGCAGCAGTGATTGATTCATTGTTTTGTAACTTACTGTTTGGTAGAATAGACCCCTGTGAATAAATGGCTTCTGAGAAGTAAGGAGTGCAGAGAGAAAACAGCTTTGAAACTCATCAGCAGGATTTGGTCTAAATTTGCATTCAGATTAGTGCAAACTCTACTAGTACCGCCATTAAACAATTAGTCATTAGTTTAAACATTCAAATAAAGACTGTAAAATTATAATGCAAAAAGCTAAAGTAAAAAATAATATAACTCTTGCACTCTTTATCAGGGTTTCATAGCTGATAAAACATGAAATTCCATTGTCAAGTCTGTGTGTGAAAGCAGGCATTTCCTAATGACATGCATGACATAACACACATCAATAATTTATATGATTGTGGTTGTTTACAAGAGTGAACCCATGTATGCTTCCAGTTGAGGCAGCAATAGAAATATATCGCTGTGTCGGAAGAAAACCTCCAAAATCTCCAAAATAGTAACTTTACAGGAGAAGGAAAAAACACACTTTACTTTTAATGTAAGTCAATGGAACCAGATTTTTTTCCAAGTCATTTTGGGTCGTTTCTTTTGGTCCATTCATTATGAAATTTACACACAATGTAAAGGGCAACAGGCATTTTCAAATTGTGTCAAAAACTGAAAAACGACAAAAACTGAGATACGAGGTTTTCTTCCGACAGCAGCGATATGTCCATTTATTGATTACATTTTAGTTGTAATCTAGATCAGGGCTGCCCAAAGTGTGGCCTGGATGTTTGATTTGGCCCTCCTTCACTAAGTCAATGAGAGAACATGTATTTTTACCGAACTTCCTCTTTTTAGCTGATTTTTCTTTTAAATGTTATTTTAAAGAAAATTTTGTAATAAAACATATAGTTTAATGTTATAAAGTCAACCTATAAAAAATCTGACCCTTGACATCATACAATTATCAGTCACTTCAATGTAAATGTAGCTGGAGCAAACGTAAATTGAGCGGGATACGGACAGGACAGGTGGTGGTGGTACAAAGACAAGAGGAGATTTAGAGACCACTGGGGTGAAGATTTTCTTTTCACTAAATTTACAAGTAATGTATATCAAGAAACCACTGGAGGATTTAAAGAATACAGTTTCTCCACATGTACTGGCAAATAGGGATATGCATTCAGGCTAATTCTGATATTCAAGTATCCATAAGTTAATTAACGTATATCCGGTTAACCACAGAGAAGGAAGCAGTAACAACAAAAAGGGAAAAAATTGGCTTTGGCTAAAGGGCTGAAGGCTTTCTTTTTAGATGATAACACTGGAGGTTAAAATTGAAAAAGATGATTTATTATTCAAAAACAGCCAAAGAAAATCAGCAGCTTTTCATGTTGGATGAGTATCAGATGCTGCCTCTTCAGATGAGCTAATAAGCTAACGCTAATTAGTCCAACATTGGCTGCTGATGGAGACTTGTCATCTTCTGTAGGAGGTCAAAATCACTGCTGTTGGAAGAAAACCTTGTAGCTCCATTTTTGTCAGTTTTTCAGTTTTTGACATAATTTGAAAATGCCTGTTTCCCTTTACATTGTGTGTAAATTTCATGATGAATGGACCAAAAGAAACGGCCCAAAATGACTTGGAAAAAAGTCGGGTTCCATTGACTTACATGGTTTTTCCTTCTCTTGTAAAGTTGCCATTTTGGAGATACGAGATTCTCTTCTGAGAACAGCGCTATATTGGTTTGTCAGCAGCACTGCTGTGTCTGATCCACTCATCACAACACACACTAACATCCCACACCATGTCAGTGTTACTGCAGTGCTGAGAATGATCCACCAGCCAGATAATACCCGCTCTGTGGTGGTCCTGTGGGGGTCCTGACTATTGAAGAACAGGGTAAAAGGGGGCTAACAAAGGAAGGACTACAGTATGTAAATAAAGAGAAGAACTATAAAGTGCACCTATATGGTCCTATATGGAGCTGATAAAATGAACAATGAGTGTAGAAACAAGGAGGTGGTTTTAATGTTATGGCTGATTGATGTATAGTCATATTAAACATTATAATTTGGCATCTCAAGATAAAAGGTTTGTGCCTCTGTGACGGCCTGTGTTAATGGATATCACTGAGCCAAGTTAGTTCTGTTTATTCAGGCCAGGTTTGGGAGTTCCACATTTTGGGTACACTCAAAAAAACACTGAACCAAGAACGTTGTTTACATTGAGGCAACAATGTCTGAATATACAAAATATACGATTTTTTGAGCGTCTATTAAAACATTCTCAAATTCTCAGAAATATGCAAAAGCTTTTGACAGACTAGAACTCCAGTGTTCGATCTGAGGTCAAGCCTAACACTGTAATGCTGATAGCCCTGCTGTGTTGTATTCTGCAGTCTGAGTGAGTCACGGTGAAGCTGCACCTCTTTCATTTTTCACAACAATCAAATCAAAGGCAAGAGAATTCTTTATCTACTCTCACTTTTTTCATCTTTGAAATTTGGAGTATATCCTGGTTCCAGTTGCAGGGAAACCTAATAGCTGGGTTGCCATTGTGGGGAGAGCAAAACAGTCTGGTTTCTGGTGTGAAAATAATAAACTAATGATGTGCTTTAAAAGAGCAGCGTGAAACACTGGAACCAGCTGCCAAAAGGAGAAGAGTGCAAATTTAATATCAAAAACTGTAGCAGATGGAGCTTTTTTTCTGGCCTGCACTCAACATTTGTAGACCTCAAAGAACTAGCGGAGACTGCTGATACCATTGTCTACTGGTGTGTGTCTCTGTGCCACCAGCATATGGAGTTCATAGATTTGTAGAACAGTGTCAGATCGACAGTGTACCAACAGCTGCTCCCTGAAGCAAACCATAGGCTTTGTCATGCCAACACTAACCAGCTGAAGCTATTTAAACCAGTCGAATGCAAAGAGATATATAGTTTTCACATTGATACATTGAGGTCAAAGTCTCAAATATAACACTTAGGGCAATAAATCGGTCAGAAATGCTAACAATGCTGATAATGAAGGTAACAGTTGCCTGTTGATTCACACTAATGTCTCTTCTGTTCATCATAAATGGAAAATTCCTAAGATTTTGCAAAAATTCTGTGTAATTCAATCGTTAAGATGTAAACTAAGTTATTCAGAGAGGTTTGATGTGAAATGCAGCGCTCTCGAGAAACTTGCCAGGACAGAATTGTTCACAGTGGTGTTGATAGGAACCAGACGTCTGGGGAGTTTAATGTGTCTAAAAGCTTCCTCACAGAAAGTGAAAGTATGAATTTGCTGCCTGATGCCTGAAACTCAGATAGATCTGACATCAGGTTTTGGTCTATAATGTATTTTTAAAATCCATTCACATTAGAGAGGTACATGCAGAGGTATGGCAAAATAGTCCCACAGAAAGATTTATTTTTTTGATATACGGCTATTTTACCACCATTGGCATTACATGTAACTCAAAAGACGCTCACTAGTCATTTTTGGTGGCAAATGCAATGGCGACTTTTGTGTTGTAGATATTGCGACTCCTGGTTCCACAGAGAGTTATTAAATGGTCACATTACATGAATGCATTGCCTGATGCCTGTGTTTCACGATAGTTTCACGCCCCATCACGTTTTGGCCTAAAACATATTTTTTAAAGATATTTATGATGGAAGGATACATGCAGGGTGTTGTGAGGCAAAATAGTACCCAAAGAAAACTTTTGTTAGATTTACCACGACTGTTATCAACATAAAAATATAAATATAAAAACTCAAAAGATGTGTAGGTTTACTAGTTGTTTTGGATAGTAAATAAAATGGCTATATTTGTTTAGTAGACCAAGATCATGACTCCTGCGTCTGTATTACAGAAACTTCTTAAGTCTGAAATCTTATCTGCTTAACCACCACGACACCTTCAGTTAGGACTGAATTTAGGACTGAAGCTGTTACTGAACAACAGTTCTTAAGTTCATAATCTCATCATTAACTCCAGATAAGAACAGTATTACAGAAACATCCTAACTAGACTAAACCTCCTAAATACTGTCCTAACTTTGAGATAAACCCCAGTGTCTTAACTTCTGTTTTAACTTCTGTTTCTATTGTTTTATGCAGTGAGAGGCAGCTCAGTTCACTATAACTAGAATAATGACGCTACATTTAAAAACTGCTTTGACAATATTTTAGAAGCCTCAGACGCTGCTGACTCGATCTCCACCGTCCCTCTTATTACCTTTGTGTGTTAATGTTGATGATAAAATATTACAGTGATGGTGGTGAATAATGAGGAGACGGAGCTGAACGTGTGTCTAATAACGTTAGCGCGCTCGGCTAAAACATTTGGGAAGCTGAAACTGAAACTGCAGAGCAGCGACGCACTACAAAAAAACAGGAGGCGCTGACACAAATGATTAACTTCCAGTTTATCACCCTTTAGTTTTGTCTGACCTTTTTACATCAGTAACGGTAGCTAACGTTAGCTGTCTGGCTAACTAACGTGATTATTTCGATTATGTGTTTAAATTTCAGCTGTGCATGTATGGTCTGTTGCTAGGTAACAGGCATAACAGTTGATAGACTTCAATCGAGTAAGTTAAGATTTCCTAACTTGAGATAAGATGCTGTAAGATAAAATTCCTAAATTAAGGTAAGATTTGCTTCTGTAATACGAAATTTGTGAAAAAGATCTTAACTTAAGACAAAAAGATAAAAAGTTTCTGTAAAGTCCCCACCACTGTAAAGACATCTGAGTAGGCATGTTTCTCTACAATAAACCATTTCACATCAAAGCGCTCTGAATGACTCTGAATGTTTAAATCTCAACCACTGAATTATTCAGAAATTTAGAAAAATTGATGCTTCCCTTTTAACCACATATGTATGTTCGGTCAAGCAGCTTCACTAAAGCTGATTTAAAGTCAAGTGGCTCGATTAGGAACAACTCCCAGGCTTCTTTTCCTTGACTACAGCTATTTTAAGTGCACCTGGGATGGCATCTGTAGGCTAAAGAAACAGCGAACGCTCATGGATAACACTGCTTTCTAAAATGCTTTAAATGAGAAGTCCCCTTATGTGCTGTCACATGTGATGAACACTACACTGATGTCATCCTTTAAGCATCATTGAATTTTAATGATGTAATTTGTCCATTCATTTTTACAGTGAGCGCTGAGGACAGGAGGGCCTGAGGAGCTAGAGGTTGAGAAAGCGCTGCAGTGGATATTCACCTGAGCCTGCATCACAGTGTGCTGCTCTTTCAGCTCTTTAGCCTGTAGCTTCCACTCTGCAGCGTGAGTCAGTAACTGCGGTTACACACAAAAAGACACACAGATATGGGAGAGAAAGAGAGAGACAGAGCACTTCGCCTTTACCTGCTTCTTCATCTGTAACTCCTGCTGCTTCATTGTGTAGCATTTCTTTGTTTTGTCAATTGCTTCTTTAAGCAACTAGTAACAAAGACAGGGAGATATTAACATGGGTCACCTCCTCAGACTTTGTTCTACTTTCTGAACTCTCCATGCATGACTAATGCTATCTGATTCATTACATAATCGCTGCTCAAGAACTAGTTTAAGGCAGTGGTTCTCAACCGTGGGCATTGTTGAGCTGCGATGCCCCCAAAAATGTTTTCAAAACGCCAGAAATAAAGGAATATTTTGCAAACATTGGACAACAATTTATCACACCGAAACAGAGCAGCATGACCACTTTTAGTTCGCTTTGTAACGCAGAACGCTAATTATCACGTAATGTTGATCTCACAGGGGTGGGGACCTTAGGTCCTGGAGGACTGGATTCCAGCACCGCTGAGTTGTTGTCTTTCTTAGACCCACCTGATTCGACTCATCAGTTAATCAGCAGTTGTCCCCAAAATCATTATTTCCATTGATTTCTTTCACTTACAGAAAAAATTACATGAATTTTTGGACACCTTACATGTCATTTTTCACAAAAATGTGAAAAACTTGCCATCACGTAGAAGAAAATGTGAGCAAATTTACATTTGTGATAATGTAAAAAAAATGTATCATGGGAAAATGTGTGATTATGTGTAAAAACATGTAATCAAGTGTGAAAGTATGATCATGTGTAAAACGTGTGTTCACATATTAACCCTCTACTGCACGTATTACGAGAGAATTAAAAAAAAAAAAGTTTAATTCACCTTTCTTGCATAAATGGACCTGATTATTAAATTCCACATTTAAAAATTGTGTGCAGAGGTTCTTTTGGGGTATGTTGCTTTGAGGCAACATTGTGCAACAATGAGAAGAAATGATATAAAGCGAGTGCTTGTGACTGTCTAAATCCATTCAGTTTGGTCATACTCAGAAATATTTGCAGAAATATGTTTGTTGCCTAGAAGCAACATTGAGTGATATTGCTTCTAGGCAACAAACATATTTCTGCAAATATTTCTGAGTATGACCAAACACGTGCTTTTTATCAATTTACTCAACCTCTTCCCTTTATTGTTAACCTTGTCATTGTCTTCAAATACCTACAATGTTATTGTAAAGTGAGGAAAATGGGTTTGTTGCCCTGAGGCAACATTGTACAGTAGATGGTTATCTTTACATGTGTTTACTTGTGATCCTGTGTTTTTAGACACCTCTAATGTTGAATATTATTTTCTGTAATGGTTTTTATTAAGATGTCTGACAGAATAAAGGGTATTTTAGTTTTTTTTGCAGAAGACAACATCTAATATCTCTTGATATAATGCTTTTTTTTTGGTTGAAAATGAAATTTTAAAAAAAGAAGCAAAGCCTTATCATCTATAGAGTCTATGATATACTGTGACCTGTAGTTTCTTCTGACTTCAGCATGTGTGGCCATCAAAGGCCAATTACACTATTTAAAAATGGCACTCAAAATGAATAGCCACAGAAAAATCTACAGTTTTGAGGATGTATTTACATGAATTCTTTACACAGTGCAGGTCACTAGTATATCAAAGTTAACTTGCTATTAGTTATTAGGCTAATAAGTGCTACTGAACTGCGTCTTCTGAAACATGCGTCTTCAAAACCACCTTCTGTTTAACTTTCTGTTTTAAAAACACAATATTACTGGTGTACAGAGGTAGTGCCACATCTCCAAAAATGGTTGGGCAAAATTGGTGGTTGGCTCTAAGAAAGTCTAACGCAGGCCTCTCTGTAATCCCGAAATCTCAGTTTTGTTAATCTGGTTATTTCTTCCTATAGGTCAATGGTCTGTGCGGATAGGTAAAGTTGTTTTCTTTGAAACAGGTGGCCTGAACTCAACCCCGTTGTTTCAGTGGCCATGCTGATCTGTGAGATTTAATGGAATCATTATCAAAAACACATCAAGCTTCCCACGACCCCTAAAAATTGCCCAAATGATCGACCCCCAGGTTGAGAACCACTGTTTTAGGGTAGAAAACTTGGAACATCTTATATGTCTAGGCATAACATGCATAAGTTCACATCGACATATCACAGATCCAGCTCTTAATGCTCGGAAACTAGTGGTAAACATACTGTGTATAAAAACGATCCTTCTGTTTGCCTGAGGCACATTAGAAGGGCAGAAATAAGGGCACTGCATGACTCACATATTCCTTCTCTCTATTGTGCTTTTCCTCAGCTTCCTTCAGCCGCAGGTTCGCTTCTTCCAGTTTGGCGTCTGCCAGTTTCTGCTGCAGATCCCTCTGTTTGAATATCTTCTCCAAACTCTGAGAGGCAAGAACAGAGAAGAAAACGCACTCTTGTAATAGGCAACATATGTGTTAATGTGTTAATGCCAGGATGCTCCACCAGTACTGTGATTACAGTAAAGACTTTCCAGTAAACACTGGCATCGATGTTTGGGTGAGCTGGTGCTTTTGCAGAATGCTTGATGTTTTCTAGGCTTCAGTACAGTACGTTCCAAAGGATCTCAGGCCCCAGTGCAAAGAATTTAATATGAAAATCATTTTTAATGAATATAAAACTGGCAAAGTAATTTGCTGATGTTCTCAAGGCATTCCTCTCCACTCACTAGCATCCAATGCTAAGCTAAATGTTTACGTTACACTACATATTTGGATGGCATTAATTATACGTCATATTTAGCTGTCTGGCAGGTCAATGGCGAAAGGAAAAGATTACATAGTTTCCTGAGAAGGCCTACTGTGCAATAATTGATTAACAAATAATTTAATAAAATACATATTTTAATATATGATGAGTTGGAATCAATTGTCATGTTGCAGGTTGTGGTGGATCCATTGAAAAAAGGTTTAAAAAACATAAAACTGAACAAAACGACTGTCAAAATTCAGGGTTCAACATAGTTTTAGCTATACATGGTACTTTGATACATAACAGTTGCCATACGGTGTCAAAAACCACAGAAATAAGCCTATATGAAGCTTCCATTGTCTGTCAGCTACATTAGTCTCATAGTTCCAGTGCAAAACTAAAGAAGTAAACTTCACCCAACATGTCTTGACTGCTTGACCACATCTGGAATAGGGGAAAGCTGTCATTTCACCAAAGCAAACACTGCAAGAAGGTAACCTGTTTTCCAGCATAGGTGATGAAGTTGTTATTTAGAATCACCAATGAGTGATACATTTAAGGATTAAAGAGCCATAAGCACTGGAGATCTTTCAATTAATGTGTATAATTGCCTGAGACATGACATTGGCCACATCCCTCTGTGTCCTGTGCTTACCTCCACGGACCAGGTGGGGGCAGTAGAGATACACGTCTCAGTTTTCAATGATAAAACTCCAACTAAACGACAAGAAGCGTTTTTTTTACCCCCATAATACACAGCTGTGAGTGAGCGGTCTCAGTGGTACCCATCAGCGTGACAGATTGAGCCTAGCCTGCGTCACGTTGGGCTTGTCGTTCTCCCGGTGGATTCTCATGTGATTAAGTACGCCATGCTAGAATGTTCTACAAGGTGCAAGTTTCACTGTCAAATAGGGCATGAATCAAGAAGTAAAAAGTAAAATGAAGAGGAGTTCTTGCTGTGGACGATGCAGGTTTGTAGCTTTTTGGGATGCAGTTTCCTTGGCAATGCGCCATGCAATTAAAGCTGCGCCTGTGCCAGACATAGAGTTTGTCCCCATCTGTACGTGAGCTAGAAGGTTTAAGCTGTGTTCTAGTGTTGGATGTCCTTATGACTAAATGCTGTTCTTAAATGAATGATGTGCTGTGTCCAGCCACCACCTCTAAATAGTAAATTCAGCTACCTTAACATGCACCCATTCAGCATACAGCATTTATACTGATCAGGCATAACATTGTGACCACCTCCTTGTTTCTATGCTCATTGTCCATTTTATCAGCTCCACTTACTATATAGGTGCACTTTGTAGTTCTACAGTTACAGACTGTAGTCCATCTGTTTCTCTGCATACTTTGTTAGCCCCCTTTTAACACTGACGTCAGTGTTACTGCAGTGCTGAGAATGATCCACCACCCAAATAGTACCTGCTCTGTGAGGGTCCATGGGGGTCCTGACCACTGAAGAACAGGGTAAAAGATAAGATACACTTGTGTAAGTACATAAGGTGTACTTCTGTACTCCGTCTGTAACAGTGACTAAATCATTAGTAGTTCCGTTGTTGTGGCATATGCTGTTCACATGTAACTACACAGTTATTAGAGCCAAAATAAAATGGGACCAAATAACTTAGGTATTGAAATTTGGTATTGAAAGGACATAGAATATTTCAGTACTCTGTAGTGTTGACCTAACTTGGTCTATAAAAGCAGTGAATTTTGATACCCAGCTCTACACTTGAGCTTGGATAAAATGTTGAATGAGCAGGTGTCTACAAACTTTTGGACATATAGTATATCTCTGGTTTTAATTCCTCAAGCTGCAATGAAAATACTCAGCTGTGCAGCGGTGGTTCTAAGTGGTGTGACTTTTGAGACCGAGCTGCGCTGCGGGTTCTTGAGGATATTCACAAACTCTTTCCCTTGTCAGCTAATGCATCAGTCATCAGCTGCCTGTGTGGTTATGTTGTCCTTAAGAGGCAGGTCAATGGTGAAGGTCCTTAAACCCATTCTCTGTTGTTCAAGTGTTTAAACAATGACTTAAGTAGAACCAGGCTAGGGAAAAATGGCTTGAGAAGTAAAACATATTTAGCTCTCTATAGAACTGCAGAGGAATTTTAAGTCCACCCAGCATCAGAGTGGGAACTGCATTTTGTTAGACACTGAGCAATAGCAAAGTGGTCAATGTTCCGAACCCCATGTGTCAAACACAAGGCCAGCTCAGGCCCAGGACACAGTCCTTTCCGGCTCACAGAAGTATTTTGATTTTCTATTAATATTAGCCTGTTTTGCAATGTGCTGCACTACAGTCCCCAGCATGCACTGCAACATAAAGTACACTTTGACTCTCCTACCCCAACAACAGTCTATGGGACAGCGGTTACACCTCAATTCTACACAATTCTACACCATTCCACACCAGTCGTATCACCAAACTAGCTGCATTTCAGCTGCAGTTCAACCAATATAAACACCTAAAGTCAGCTCAGTAGCTTAAAAACTGATCCGAAGTCTTAATGAACTTACAGCAAAAAGGATGCCAGGTGTCCAGTTCAAGCAAACAGGTAGGTTTAAAAGACTGAGCACCTGGGGACGTTAAAATTTTGAATATTTCAAATATTTATGTAATATTTCAAGGTCGACTATAAGTGCTTATATACTACTGTTGAAGTTTTTGCATATTTTGAATAAACAATCGCCAGTTCGGGTTAAAGCACAACATTCATTAAAAATGATTTTTTTTTAAAAATCTCAACAGATTTGTTGAGATTTTTTATTATGGCCCCTTTAGTGGTTGAGTTTGACACCCTGTTCCGAACCAACCAACCAAAAAAAGAGAACTATTGTCAAAATATTGTCATCAATTCATCCAAAGTTGTACAAATTCTTTCAAAATTTTTGCGTAAATACATGAAACCACCAACTACTCACCTCTGCTGTCACAGAAGCAAAAGTGTTCAACATATTCAAGAGTGCAGCTCAGCTAGAGTTTTAAATTAATGCTGTGGAAGGCAGGATGTGTGTGCATGATGTCCTTCCTTTGGAAATGTCTTAGCATGATAGGATCCTTAGAATCTAAACATTTTCCAAATGGGCAAAACTTTTCTGTGAGTTGGTGTGGATAAAAGTCAAATGCTGTAACTGTGAATGTGTGCAGCATTTTCCTTCCTCAGTTGGCAGTGCTAGGAGGAGATCACTAACAGTGTCTAGAACTGAGACAAGCAGGAAAGTAATGGCAAAAATAACCAAAGACACTCACATCCTCTTAGTTAGAACCACCTAATCCTTTTTAACTCCTTGAGACCACCAGTGGTTCCAAAACGCACTTCGTCATATTCTTTATAACTTTCATATTTCATAAGCTGCATTCAAAAATGGGGGTCGTATGAGAGCTGTAACTGTCTTCTTTCCAGTCAAATAGATGGGTGATGTAATTTTAAACCCTTATAATAAAAGAAGCTGAACTCAGTATTTTTTTTTCTACTGAAAGTCGACCCGTTTGTTCACAAATCCGAGCTGTAAACTGGATCTCAGATGGTGTCTCTTCAGTGATCTGCTCTGTAAAAATTATTTTTATAAAATAATACAAAGAGTGTCTAAGATTTTTGGCTTTCAGCAGTAAATTGTAAGCATATAGCAATATGTGTATGATCATAAAACTTGCTCTATTAATTTGAGGGGAACTTTTACAAAAAAAAACAAACATTCACATTTATTTCATGCAGTTACTGAATAATTTGCTTTATGATTTGAGCAAAATCATTCAGATGGAGAAACCAAAATAGGCCCTGGAGAATAAGAGGTTAAAAAAATGAAAAAACTTGTATTTACACTCACTGGCATCTATGATCCCTATAGACCCTATACACAACTATATTGGTCCTGAAGGACTTGAAGGCCCACTGTAAGTGTACAAATACAGACCGTAGCCCATCAGTTGTTGCCCAGTTTGTCAGCCACCCTCTACCTTTTTCATCACTAGTCAATTTTTGACTACAGGACAATTGTTGAACAGCTATTATTTGGGTTGTCAACCATTATTATGTTATCCCATTCTCTTTATCACAGCTAGCTGGACAATGGTCCACCACCCAATAAAAATCTGCAAAAGATAAGATTAGATTCAGCTTTATTCTCATTGTGCAGCACACAGGTACAAAGCCAATGAAATGCAGTAAACTCTGTGCAACTCTGTGGTCAGAAACTGACCACTGATGAAGGGCACTGTGCATCAACAGATAAGCTACAGTCTCTAAATAGCACGGTGCTATGTGTTTCCAATAAAGCAGCCAATGTATACAATGAATATACAATGAATTGGTTGACAGTGCTGACCTCTTAGACACCAGTCTGCATTCTGAACTGGTCTGATCTGGTTTGTACGCATGTTTCAAATGTGTCTGTGTGCGTCTCACTGTACCTCCTCTCTCTGCTCGTACTGCTCGATGATGGCCTTGAGTTTGTCGGCCAGCTCACTGTTCTCCTGGCACAGTTTGTTGTTGCGGTTGCTGTGGTGCTCGATCTGGGCCTGAATGTCCACCAGCGTGCTCTGGAAATGAGTGGTGATCTCTATACGCTTCTTCTCATCCTCACGACACCTCTGCAGCAAGTGCTCCTGTGGCAGAAGACAGACGGCTGCAGAGTTACACGGCAAAGACAAAGAGTTGCCATTTCCAGGCAAAGAAACCACAGCTTGATCAAAAGCTGAGGACACAGGTGTGTTCCTATTACTGTTGCTTCAAAACAGCAGATAGCCAATAGCACACCAAGCCAGGCAAGGGTACTTATCCACATTATGTTATAGCCTGTCAAGGTTTGAAATAGAACCAGGTTGTTTGTTAGCCTCTTAAACTAGATTCAGACTGGGTTCTTTCCGGACCACTGCTTTGCCGAGATCAGTATTTTCCCTCGTCTGATGTTCCAAATTTGTTAATTAGGCTCTTTTTGCAGGCCCACTAGTAGCCTTTCCACTAGAGAAATGGAAATTGACTCAAATTTTTATTAGAGAAAATAAAAAAAATCCACAGTAACTCTGTTATCAGATTAACCAGGACACTGTTGTCTTTATCGGTGTGAAATGTTGTGATTCCGTGTTGAGCTGCTAGTGAGCAATAAGGTGTGAAAGAGGAGGAGTGAGAACTCCTTGCTCTGAAAAAGTTAACGCCTCTCCACTCAAAGGCAGCAGTGCTAAGAAAAAGCAACACTACACGTTTCTTTACATCAACAATCATGTCAAGAAATATGCCACAATAAAAATAGCATTCAAACACTTTTATAAATGTTAACTTGTTACAAATAGGTCATGTCATGAATGTGGCACTGACACACTTGGAACCCAAGGAGGTTTGGGGCTAAGGGATTGCTAAGTTGTTGTCAACACTAGTGCAAATGTCTTTGAATAAATCTATAACAAAGAAATATCAATAAAACTGTTATTCCTAAAAACAAATGTTGACTTGCTTTCTCACCTACAGGGGAAAATCTTGTTCATTTGACTGCGTAAGTCATACAGACAGCCATTGAAGTACAGGGTGATTCAAAAAGATTCATCTGATTTCAAAGCGCCATATTTTTACAACCGTGAGGTGCCTAGGAACCAATCACAATCCAATGGAAAGAGGGGCTCATAGAGTTTCTGACTGTCAGTGGAAGATGGCTCCCTTCAGTCTGAGAGGAGATGAGACCCCTGAGCAGAAAGCGTTCTGCGTTCTCCACTTCGATAAGAGTGAATCCGTCATAACTGTGCAGTGTGATTTTCGTGGGCAGTGAAGCTCCAACAGCTCAGAGCGTTCGTTGTTGGTTCCACAACACTGGATGATCTCCGAAATCGCACTGAAGGAGCCGTGAGTGCAGCGACACCCGACATGCTCAATCCAGTATGGGATGAATTTGACTATGGCGTTGGAGGTTCATACTGAGCACTTGTACAATTACATAATACACTTTATGCTCATTTAAACCATTTACAGTTCACTGCATTGATCTGTAATGATTTATATGTGAAATAAATCCTTTTGAAATCGGATAAATCTTTTTGAATCACCCTGTATATTCCATCAACATTATTGGAGATAAAAAATGCATAGTTCAGCTCCAGGACCTGCAAATCAGAGGAGTCTGCATACTTGGTCCATACTTCAGTTCCTCACTTTACTACCTACACAACCCATGTATTTGTTTCACAATGGCTAATAACAATTCATAGTAATTACTGAATAATACATCTTCGGATTAATAATTGATGAATAACCCCACAGTTTTTGTAAACAAGCTGACAGTATTGGCTTAAAAATTAGAAATAGTTGTTGCTGGAAAATATGTAACTATTAACTTATTTTTTACACATCTAACGAAACACTACCCATCTTTTAGAGCATCACCTTAATGAAACAAACTAACAAAAAAGAATTTATGCATCTAATTTACACTGTTGTCCACATAACCAGTGTCTAGTTGATCAGACAAGACATGTTTGGTGTCCAGATTTTCGCTTCTTTACTTTAGATGCTGGAGCTGTGAAGCTAACGTTGCTAACTACCACTAAAAGTCACTAGTTACTCAAACCTCTTCTGTAAATATTTCCCCAAAACCTCTCTCAGCCTGCACACACTGCGTCCAGGTCTTCAGTAAGGTCTTGCAAGCTTGTTAATGTGTTTTGAAGCACAGTATGATTTACTGTAAACTATAAAAACGCGATGCCCACTGCGTTCAGCTACTTGGTGAAGTTTTGTTCATTTTCATCGCTCAATGTAAATCACACTGTGTCCTAAACCACACTGAGAAGTCTGCATGACTTTATTGAAGGATTGGATGTGGTGTGAGTGGGTGGAGAGACGTTTTAGGGACGTATTTACAGAAAAGATTTAGGTGACTACTAATGTCTAATGTTTGTTAGCAACATTAGCCTCGTAGCTTCAGCACTAAAGCCCAATTGGACAACAAACATGTCTTGGTTGATCGTCCGCAACTGAGGTATGTTGTAAAGTTTAGAAATCAGGGTTTTAACAAACTGTTCCCTGAAGGGAAAAGAAACGTCTACTCAGGAATGGCTTACGCTTTCATATGTTCTAAATAATAAGGGTTCCTGAATGGTGCTTGGTCTAGATCTAGAGTTCTAGGAGAAACTTTTTATCAGTATAGAACATATACTTGCATCCATGGTTTTCTTCTGTTCTCAATGACAGTCACCATGACGTCACAACAGTTCCTCTAGAATGGGCTAAACTTCCGTGTAACTCTTTTCACTGAGAGTAATTATGATGCAATCGAACTGTCTCAAAAGCACAGGAACGTTATGTGCTGGTGTCACAACAGCCCTCGAAAGCTTAAAACGATGTTGGAAAATAAATGCTACAAACACAAAGGCGAGCACAGATCAGATTGTCAGTGTCCGAGGAAGACGAGGCCAAAGAACACGGCTAGCGGCACTGAATTTAAAAAATCCCCCCTGAAATATTCATGTTTGTCCTTCCATTTCGTGATAAAACACTACAAATGCATAAAAGAGAGATTCTGATGAACAAAGCGATTCAAGAATGAACACCTGATGGTATTTTAGTCGGCCTATGAAATACTTTGCTACTGCAGTGCTAAACTAATAAAGCATTACGGCTACCGTGGCAACATAACCAATTATAATATATTATAACAATTATAATGCATCTTAACTGGCTGTGTATTCTAGTTTCATTTAAAATCTCTAACCTACCTTCCAGAAAACAGCAGCGACGTGGCTACAAGATCTGCCCGGACCAGCGATGCAAGACCATCCTGGCGTCTTTACTACACCGTTGTTTTGAACCATAACCCATGCAGAGTAGTCAGGTTTCCCGACAGACTGGCCTGGCTGAACCTCAGCTTTGAGAAATGTGAACTGTCCACAGTAACACAGAACCCCTCAGATAATATTCCTGTGTAGAAAATTATGAGCTTCTGTGCTTTTATGATTTCTCAGCTCCTCATCGTCAACACCTTCAGAAAAAACAAGGCAGTTGATGTCAACATACGTGACATTTGGCCAGAGTTTCATGTCGTCAACCCAGACTTGGGATGGGTTCAGTAGATGAGGAACAGACTGGGTGACACCATTTACAGTTCTTGTTAAACATTCTTGTCCGTGATGCCACCACGACACAACTACCATCTTCTTGTATCCAAAAAGCGAAACATAACTAAGTAACATTTCACAGTTTAATAACTGGCTAGTGATAAATCTCTTTAGCCTTGAAGCTAATCCGTACGCTATCGGTTGTCCACAACAAGCGCATACCGGAAGTCGTGCCCGTTCTCGTTCCAAAGACAAGCAAAGTGTAATGGTAAATGTTCTAGTCTAGGAAAACCATGGATAGAACATATTCTATCAGTATAGAACATATGTGGAGGTTCTTTAAACTTCAAAGAGGTCCTTCACCCTCTCATATCATATTTACAAAAACAGCTCTTTACAGAATCATCCATTGAAAGGTTCTCCAGGGAACCAGAAGTGGCTCTTCTACGGCTGCGTCAGATATCCACTCACGACCTGAGATAAGCAGTGGTATAAGGTTTTTGGATAAGGGGAGAGAATATGTATGAGTCTAAATGAGCTGTGTGCCCCCCGCAGGCTGCCCTGGAGACTTGAGCTAACGTTTCAGAAACGCCACTTTCCTGACTCAGCTAATCGAGAATAAACCATGCGTGTAGCGTGGCTCTCAGGGGCCCAATCTGCTCGCTTGCCAGCGTTCACACATGACGTGAGCCTCGAGCTCCCACCTGGGGAAGGTGAAGCTGTTACACCTGCAGCCGTGCTCTTGGGGGAAGTAAGTCATACATACACAAACACTCTCGCATGTAGTACTATACATGTGAGAATTTTAACTTTAACCCCTTAAAGTCGGAGTTATTTTCTGGGAAAACAAAAACAATATTAAACATTTCTCATTCAAACATCATTGAAAGAAGCAGAGAAATTCTTTTTAAAGTGCGAAATCTAAACTTTCAATTAATTCCATATTTGTATTCTTAAGAAGAAGATATTTTACAACCCCATTTCCAAAAAGTTGGGATGCTGTGCTGAATGTAGATGAACAGAGGATGCAATGATATGCAAATCTTGTAAACCATATTTTTAAAGGAAAATAGTACAAAGACAACATATCGAATGTTAAAACTGAGAAATTTTATTGTTTTTTGAAAAATATAAGCCCATTTTGAATTTAATGCCAAAAACACGTTCCAAAAAAGTTGGGACGGGGGCCTGTTTACCACTGTGTTTCATCACCTCTTCTTTTAAAAACACTCTGTAAGTGTTTGGGAACTGAGGAGACACTGCTGTAGTTAGAAAGTGAAATGTTTTCCATTCTTGTTTGATACAGGATTTTAGCTGCTCAGCAGTTCAGGGTCTCCTTTGCCGTATTTTTCATTTCATAATGCGCCAAATGTTTTCAGTGGGTGACAGGTCTGGACTGCAGGCAGGTCAGTTTAGCACCTGGACCCTTTTAATACAGAGCAATGCTGCTGTAATACGTGCAGAATGTGGTTTGACATTGTCTTGCTGAAATAATCAAGGCCTTCCCTGAAAAAGACGTCGTCTGGATGGCCAAAACCTATATATATATATCATTCAGCATTAATGGT